CGGCCATCTTGTCTGGAGACACTGGCTTGGAGGCGGCCATCTTGTCCGGAGACACTGGCTTGGAGGCGGCCATCTTGTCCGGAGACACTGGCTTGGAGGCGGCCATCTTGTCCGGAGACACTGGCTTGGAGGCGGCCATCTTGTCCGGAGACACTGGCTTGGAGGCGGCCATCTTGTCCGGAGACACTGGCTTGGAGGCGGCCATCTTGTCCGTAGACACTGGCTTGGAGGCGGCCATCTTGTCCGGAGACACTGGCATGGAGGCGGCCATCTTGTCCGTAGACACTGGCTTGGAGGCGGCCATCTTGTCCGTAGACACTGGCTTGGAGGCGGCCATCTTGTCTTTAGACACTGGCTTGGCAGAAGTGACGTGGAGCGTCTCTGGCTCGGCAGAAGTGACGTGGAGCGTCTCTGGCTCGGCAGAAGTGACGTGGAGCGTCTCTGGCTCGGCAGAAGTGACGTGAAGCGTCTCTGGCTCGGCAGAAGTGACGTGGAGCGTCTCTGGCTCGGCAGAAGTGACGTGAAGCGTCTCTGGCTCGGCAGAAGTGACGTGAAGCGTCTCTGGCTCGGCAGAAGTGACGTGGAGCGTCTCTGGCTCGGCAGAAGTGACGTGGAGCGTCTCTGTCTCGGCAGGGCTGACATGGAACTCTGGCTGGGCTGTCTCGGCAGGACGAGACTCTGGCTGGGCTGTCTCGGCAGGACGAGACTCTGGCTGGGCTGTCTCGGCAGGACGAGACTCTGGCTGGGCTGTCTCGGCAGGACGAGACTTTGGCTGGGCTGTCTCGGCAGGACGAGACTCTGGCTGGGCTGTCTCGGCAGGACGAGACTCTGGCTGGGCTGTCTCGGCAGGACGAGACTCTGGCTGGGCTGTCTCGGCAGGACGAGACTCTGGCTGGGCTGTCTCGGCAGGACGAGACTCTGGCTGGGCTGTCTCGGCAGGACGAGACTCTGGCTGGGCTGTCTCGGCAGGACGAGACTCTGGCTGGGCTGTCTCGGCGGGACGAGACTCTGGCTGGGCTGTCTCGGCGGGACGAGACTCTGGCTGGGCTGTCTCGGCGGGACGAGACTCTGGCTGGGCTGTCTCGGCGGGACGAGACTCTGCTGGAAGGTGAGCGCAGGCTCGGCAGGGCTGACGGTGAGCGCGGGCTCGGCATGAAGCTCTGGCATAACGTGAAGCTCTGGTTGAGTAGATACCACGGGTTCATGGATCTCCTTCTCTACAACGCCCACAGTAAACAAGGAACCGCTTAGCAAAAGGGCCTGGTTAATATAGTCCTCTAATGTCCCGTGACGATTGTGTAAGGGCATGAGTGAACTGAGGGGTTCAGAGAGTCCTCCTCGGAAAAAGATCATTAAACACTCTGTGCTCATTGAGGCGAAATGGGCCAGTTCAATGAACTCAGAAACATAGTCCTCGACGGACCGATTCTCCTGACGGAGACGCAAGATCTGGACGTCTGGGCTTCTTGTTGGCATGGCTGCTGGATCTTGGTGTGGCGAAGTCTTCTGTTACGAACTGCTCCGAGACTTGGAGATGAAGATCCAAATGCAGCTTTATTTAAGATTAGTCGTACAGGCAGGGTCGAGAATTAGCAGACAGGACAATGGAGAATACACAGTGGGAATCCGGGAAACAGGCAGAGGTCAGGGCAGGCAGCAGTAATCAAAATCCAAGAACAATCCATCTGTTACGAACTGCTCCGAGACTTGGAGATGAAGATCCAAATGCAGCTTTATTTAAGATTAGTCGTACAGGCAGGGTCGAGAATTAGCAGACAGGACAATGGAGAATACACAGTGGGAATCCGGGAAACAGGCAGAGGTCAGGGCAGGCAGCAGTAATCAAAATCCAAGAACAATCCAACGTCAAAAACCAGAAAACAAACACGGAAAACGCTCAGAAATGCAGTGTAACACTTAAACAAGACTTCGCAAACACTGAACGTGAACACAAGGTATATATAGACACACTAACAGGATGAGACACAGGTGAATGCAATCAGTGAATGAGGTACAGGTGAATGTGATCAGTGATGATGAGTCCGGGCAGTGAGTTCTGGGAAATGTAGTTTGTGTGAAACATAGTCTTATCTGGAGTGCCCTCTGGTGGCTCAAGAGGGCACTCCAGCTGGTAACCGTTACACTGTCCCTGTTTTTTTTTTTTTTTTTTGAGGATGTATTTTAATCAGATTTACAGTCAAACTAAAAATGTCCCTGTTTTTTCCAAAATTTTGGGAGTCCCCGGTTTTGGTCTCAGACATTTGGTCTTAGCTTTAGCCGCTATGCCGTTAAAGCGCTGATAATTGCAGGCACACATTCGTGAAAATGACACCATTATGAGCTTAATTTTACACCTTGACCGACCATAACACTCGCTTGATTTGTATGCTCCCAGCTAGCCATCATCTAGCAGTGTCAATCACTGATGCCACAACCTGCAGCTTCTTATCTTTTTCATTTTTGAGCACCACTATTTGGATTGCTGAACATTGCAGTTGCTTGGCTGTTAACAATTAAGTTAGACACACTCAGAAAAACTTATTTTTGTGTTTTAATGGCAGTTGGCAAACTTAACGGTGCATTAACGGTGCCACCTCTCAGAAAGACAAACCTAGCAATAACATTTGAAGACGTAGATCAGAAAACGTCACGATGAGAAATAAAATGATTCGTCAGATTTCCCAGCAGGCCGTGCTTTTTTGTAAAAATGGAGAATAAAACACATAGTCCAGGCAAACTAACTCATTTTGGATCCAAATTTTTTTCTGCATAGATAATTTCTATGAGGTGTCCAGACACTGGCGTAGGAACCGGGGTGGACGGGTCCCCCTCAATATTGAAAAATGCGGCATGTGTCCCACCCAAAAAATTCCATACCTAACTGAACAAAAACTGTACATTTGGAACTTTTATTTCTTTTATTAAGCGCGACAAAGAAGATATACAGTTGCAGAACCTGAAAATGAAATCATGGAAGAAAATCTTGGATTAGATCCAATGGCAGCTGTTGTGTCTGACCCAGAGGATAGATCTTATTATCAAGATGATAGTGATGTAGAAGAAGTATCTGACTGGGAGGAACCAGAAAAACTCATAAATCGCCTTTCCAACTGGGCATTAACATATTGCATTTCCCATATCGCACTTTCGGCTCTCTTGGCAATATTAAAGATCCACCACTGTGACTTGCCAAAAGATGCACGAACTCTTCTTAACACAAGAAGAGATTATTCTGTTAGGGAGCTTTGCGGTGGCCTTTACCACTACATTGGCATTATTGAGGCGTTAAAACATACCCTTTCCCAGTGGAAAGACAAGCTTGCCGATGGATGTTGTTTATATCTTCAAATGTCAGTGGATGGCCTGCCACTTTTTAAAAGTTCAGGTCTTCAGTTGTGGCCCATTTTACGTAGATTGGTTGGAGTACCCATGAAAGAACCTGTGGTCATTGGAATGTACTCAGGTATAAAGAAACCTGATTCATCTAAAATGTATCTCACAGATTTGGCAAATTAACTCTCACAATTACAGGAGGGGTTTACATTTGAGGGGAAAAGGCTCACTTTAAAAGTTCATTCAATGATCTGTGACGCACCGGCAAAATCCTTTGTGAAAGTCACAAAGGCTTTTAACGGTTACTATGGCTGTGACAAGTGTATTCAGAGTGGGGTGTACCTCAACCACCGCATGACATACCCCCTCATGAATAGCCAAACACGGTCTGATGAGGCATTTGCCAGGCAGGAGGATGAGGAACATCACCATGGTCCTCATGCCTTCACAAATGTACATTTTGGTTTGGTGTCCCAAGTCCCACTGGACTACATGCACCTGGTGTGCTTGGGGGTGGTAAGGCGCCTTATCTTTCTGTGGATGAAAGGTCCTCTGACTGTCCGTGTACCAGGGAGAGACGTGGACAGAATATCCAGAAATCTTCTAAGCTTAAGACCCCACATTCCTTCGGAATTTGCTAGAAGGCCAAGAGCACTGAACGAAGTGGATAGATGGAAGGCGACGGAGTTCCGTCAGTTTCTCTTATACACAGGGCCGGTGGTGTTGCGCGAGGTGTTAAGACCTGATCTATATGCAAACTTCCTGCTGCTGTCGACAGCCATGGCAATGCTGGTCTTCCCTTTCTTTGCCAGAAAGTACAACGAATATGCCAACAGCCTCCTTCATGCTTTTGTGGAACATTTTGCCCGCCTGTATGGAAATGATCAGCTAGTGTACAATGTGCATGGGTTGACCCATCTTGCACAGGATGCAAAACATTTTGGCAATCTGGATGTTATATCATCCTTTCCATATGAAAACTCAAGGGTTTTGTACGCAAACCCTCAAATCCCCTGGCCCAAATAATCAGACGCCTGTCCGAGGGATCAAATGGTGGTGTTACAAGTGACCAGCCCATCAAATTGTGCAAAGAACATGCCCGAGGCCCTATACCAGTACCAAACTTGATCTGTCACCAGTATGATGAACTGATATCAGAGAGGTTCACCATGACCACAACATGTCGAAACAACACATTTCTGATGGGCAAAATTGTGTGTCAAATTATTAATATAATTGACTGTCACAGTGATATCACAATTGCCTACAGACAGTACGGGATGGTTGAAACATTTTTTACCTATCCTTTTAATTCAGACATTTTAAACATTGTGATACCAGCTGACCTAGGCCATGAGATAAAATTCTCCAAACTGTCATCTTTCACACAAAAATGCATAGCTGTCCCTTTCAATGAGGCAATGGTGGTCATACCATTGTTTCATATGAAGGACTAGAGACTTTATTTTTGAAAATCATAGTTCAATTCAGTTCAGTTATGTATTTTTTTAATCATCTTTTTTTTTTACACAATGATTTCTAAAAGACATTTTGTGGAGTAATTTTCCTTGACGAGGACATTACAGAAGTTGTGCCAAGGTCATGGGTTAAAGGTAATGAATGTTTTTGGCCAACATTCATTTCTGAGAAAAAAAACAAAAAGGCCATAAAGAGGCATGAAATGCCAGGCCCTGGCTGGAAAATCTTCAAAATAAGAACACTCTTTGAAAAAGGTAAATAAACAAACAAACAGGGTAATTCTATGTCTTTACATGTTAGAACAACAGTTATGCCTTACTTAATTTATCCTTAATTATTTCCATTTCTGTCTTTCTTTATTTTTATTTTTTTTCATAATAGTAGATGACTTCAGTAAGGCAAGGCAAAAGCTGAAGGACTACAACAGAAATGGAACGGCAGTCCTCCAGTCAGAGGATGAGAGCTCAATGGCAAAAAGGAGAAGAAAAGCGACACAGTATGTACATTATAGATAATTGTTGCAAAAGCTATGGCTGGGGATGGGTTTGTACAAAAAAAAGCCTTTGTTCATGCCTGCCCATTAAATGACGCTATTGCCTTGTCATTACAATTTGACCTCTGTCTTCACCAGTTACCCAGGATTTGAAAACGGCAGTACTGACTCTGAAACTGAGAAGACTCCAAAAAGAAGACCAGATTCTCGGTCTCGGCCTCAACCACTCGCTATTAGCGCTACCCTTCCTAGTCTCCCTCCAGCCCCCCTCTGTAAGTTTTGATTTGATTGCCAACTGCAACAATGTACAATCCTGTGATTTGTACCACTGCAATATGTTGATTCACGGTTTTCATTTATCAAAAGTGGACATCGCAGTGGACATGGGTCAGGAGTCTCTGGACAACACAGGACAGGAAACCTTTACAGACATAAGCTGGAATGTGAGGAGGGAGTCAGACCCCTTCAATGGTACGAATCGTGCTCTGTAGCAAAATTACAATACAAATGAAAGTACAAAGGTGATGTTCTGTCCTGTTAATTTCTGTCCTTGTCTGACAATCTGCCTCTCTTGTTATCATTTTCCCTCAATGGTCATCTAGTAATCAATAGCTCAGCGCACCAGTCAACACCACCACCACCTCAACACTCAGCGCACCAGTCAACACCACCACCACCTCAACACTTGAGTCCAGTGTTTGACATTAATATGGGCTTCCCCTATTCACATGGTGACTTTTTCATACAAATTTAGTACATGTGTACAATAAATATCCATACTTTTTTTTTTTTGTTTTCTGATTTTAAAATTTACATACCTTTCCTCAACTAGCCAGCGGTGGTGGAGAGCCTGGAGGTCACCTCCTCTTCAAGCCAACTTTCAGAGTTGGCCATGAAACAGGGCCAATTCCTTGCCCACGTAAGAAATAAAAAAAAGGAATGTTAACAATGTTTACAACATCTATATATATATATATTATATATATATAGTAGCTAATGAGAATCTACAATGTAAATAGTCATGAAAATAAAGGAAACGCATTGAAGGTGTGTCCAAACTTTTGGCCTGTACTGTATATATATATAAGTATAGTACAGCTGTGGGTTGATTTATTGACCATCATTGTGTGTATTATTTCCTTAAAGGGATAGTTCACCCAAAAATGAAAATTCTATCATCGTTTGCTTACCCTCATGTTGTTCCAAACCTCTATGTGTTTATTTGTTCTGCTGAACACAGAGGAAGATATTTGGAAGAATGTTTTAATCAAACAGATCTCAATCCCCATTGACTACCATATGTATTTTTTCCTACTATGGTAGTCAATGGGGATTGAGATCTGTTTGATTAAAACATTCTTCCAAATATCTTCCTCTGTGTTCAGCAGAACAAATAAACACATAGAGGTTTGGAACAACATGAGGGTGAGTAAACGATAATAGAATTTTCATTTTTGGGTCTTTTCTCCAGATTAACACATTTTTTCAACTTTCACAATGTTTCAGCGGCTCAGCTACATGGCCTATTACTTTTGGAAAACCTAAAGCAGCAGGTTGCCCAACTCGCCACCACCGTGAACCTGCTCATGGCCAAGGTCAATAACGGCCTCCAACCAGCAGCCTTTGAGTGGTCCGGGGAATTTCATTTCCCCCTGGAATCAGATGCAGAGCTGGACCGCTTTGAGACCTGGCTGGCGGACCCTGCCAACGATAGGCAGAAACATTCCCTTGTAAGCATATTCCCCCAATATGCTCTCATTGTATTCTCAAGACACTTGTATAATCTTGTACTAAATCTAATTAATCTAAAGTTGTATTTATTGCTACAATAGACTAAGCTCTTTATGATGATGTAACTTGAATGTTATGGATAAAACCATCATCCAATTACCCACATGTCTTAATTCTAAAGAAAAAAAAACTTTCAAAAAAGTGGCTTACCTGTTTAAAAGGTGATCCAACTATCTTCATGCCCCTAGGTCAGGGGTGGGCAACAGTTTTAGTCTGAGGGCCACAGTTACTTTGGCAAAGTAACCCGAGGGCCACCCTTTGGACAATTGCAATTGAACATAGTTAAATGATTTAATTAATACAAATTAATTCAATGCAAGTATACAGTTTTTGTATACGAATATGTCTCTACAGTTATTTACAGCTACTATCTGGATTTACTTTCAAGCATTAATTTCCTACACTACCCATATTGTTCAACTGTCATTAATACCAGCTGTAGCTATTCAAGATAGAAAACTATTAACAAAACTGCAAATATATGTTTGTGCAAATTTATTAGCATACTGATACAGACTTCAGGCAATCTGGCTCGGAATTATCAAATTTTATTGAGGCTATATACCACTAGAGGGAGAACTTCATCACTGAATAAAAAACATTTTCAGCTGATTTCATTTGTGATTATTCATTTTTTGTAATTTCTTTCACATATTTTGTTCAAATCTTTTATAAAATAGAACACAATTTAAGTAAGTGCAGATTAACTTCAAACATATGTTTGCTTGAACGATATAAAGGACAACATTGAAATAGGCCTATGCATCCCACAAAATTTAAATTTGATTTAGCTGTATCATAACCATCTACGCGGGACATGCATAAGAAATGGCAACATGAAACTGAAAAATGTTTTAAAAATAACACCAATCAAGGGTAACTTGATGGAACTAGCCAAACATAGGCTACTTTAGAAAAATTTATTTCATCCTATGCAACTGAAATGACCATGAAGAGCGTTTTTGTCGGTGTTCTGTAACTCAATGTGAACAATTGAGGCGGTCGCCTTTCTTTACTAACTCATCGAAATCTGGGGTCGTGTTCGACGTAGAGATGCGCAACACGGACGACAGGTGTGCATCGGTTAGTCGTGATCTGTAGCGTGACTTGTTAAAGTTCATTACAGAGAGAGTCTGCTCGCATACATACGTGGACCCGAATAAAACTAGCCTCCTTTGCGCATGCCTCCGCATGTTAGGAAACTTGCCCTCACTCAATGCACCATAAAACCTGTCCAATGATGACGAGGTGAATTTCTCCTTGAGAGAGGGATCGCACTGCATGTCAATCAACTCAAGCTGAGCGTCCGGAGGCACTTGGTCGCTGTCAAAGGAAAAGGGGCCGGACTCCAGCTCCATCTCTTTTTCTATTTTACCGAAATCAGAGAAACGCCTGTTGAACTCAGTGTGCAGATCCTCGAGTGTAGTGGTGTATTTGACAGTGAGTCGGGATGGCACATCCTTCATTGTGGCAAGAGTTGGGAAATGTGTAAAGCTCTTGTTTGTCATTTGCCGGGAAAACAGAGTCAGCTTTTCTTTGAATGCTCACACGTAGGAATACAGTTTGTGCACGAACACATCCTTCCCCTGCAGCTTCCTATTGAGGTCATTCAGATGGCCCATTAAATCCACAGAAAAGGCAAAGTCAAACATCCAATTGGAATCTTTAAGTTCTGGAAAGTCAACAGCCTTCCCGGCATTTTCCAGAAACACCTCTATCTGACTTCTCAGGTCCCACACACGGCTTTGCATGGTGCCCAGGCTCAGCCAGCGGACGTTTGAGTGGTATGGGACATCAGTGTGTTCTGCCTCACTCTCCTCCAACAACTGGATAAACTGGCGGTGGTTAAGCGCCCGTGCCCTGATGAAATTGACAAGTTTCACCACAGTTTTGGTGACGTGATCAAGCTTTAACACCGACTTAGACAAGGCCTCCTGATGGATGATGCAGTGCAAGAAAATCAGAGTTGAGCTTGGGTCATCCTCTCTCACCCTGTCCTGTATCCTACGCAATAGCCCAGTGTTCTTCCCGGTGAGGTTTGGACAGCCATCAGTGGTCATGTTCAGTAACTTCGCCCACGGTAGGTTCATTCTCTGCATGCATCCTGACACCGTATCATAGAGGTCTGAAAATTAACTCCTCCACTATTTCAAATTTGTCCGTAATACCTCTGATGAATATAAGCAGCTGGGCAGTGTCTTTAATATCAGTGCTCTCATCCAGGGCCAGTGAAAAGTATGTGAAATCAGTGGCCCTATTTAGCAATGTTGATGTCAGCTCATCATCAATTACCTCGATGCGACGAGTAACTGTGCGGCGAGACAGGCTCACATTTTCAAACTGACTTTTGTTGTCAGGGCACAGCACGCTAGCTGCCTCTACCATACAGTCTTTTACAAACTCACCATCCGAAAATGGTTTGCTGTGTTTAGCGATTTTGTGGGACAACATATAGCTCACTTTTGTTGCTGACTCCTGTACATTAGACTGCTTGGTAAAAATATTCTGCCTGGCAGTTAAGTTGGAGGACAATCTCGTGGCTTTTTCTTCTCTCTCCTTTGCGGAGAAATTCACGGCATAATTAGCATGTTTAGCATTGAAGTGCCTGCTAATATTATATTCTTTAAAGACAGCGATGCTCTCTTGACATATCAGACAAATAACCTTTGAGCCGACGGTCGTGACGAAATATTTTGACGTCCATTCTTTATTGAATGCTCGACATTCAGAGTCCACTTTTCTCTTTTTTACTCCACTCATTTTGACAAATTGTTTATGTCCTGGCCGTTTAGAATTAGATACTTTGAGGAGGGAAGAAGACAAGTTAAGTCGCAAATTGTATTCGCACAGCGACATCTGTTGGATTGTTTTTAATAGCAGGATCGCAGTTCAGATAAAGACTGTGTTTTTTTTTTTTTTTTTTTTTTTTAAGGTGTTTCATCAAAATTGCGAGTGCATCGCGGGGGCCGGATTAAAGCACTATGCGGGCCGGATCCAGCCCCCGGGCCGTATGTTGCCCATGTATGCCCTAGGTGAATACCCTGTCTGCTGTCGGGGGTGTAGATTTGAAGAGGGTGACATGGAATATTCTTTGATACATGTTTTCCTGCCCCCTGTCTCGCACGGTTAATTGGAAGGGTGTGAACAAGAAGAGGGCCTTCCACAGGATGGCATCACAGACCCTCCTCAGCCGTAAGTATAGGCTATTGCTTCAAATGTCCTAAGTGAATTTATATTTATTCACTCAAAAGTCTTACAGATTACTCAAATATGTAAAATATAGCAAGGAGACATTTTAATTGTTTATTAATATAGTCAAGATGAAGTTGACGATGCTGATGCTGACTCGCGATCTTTGCAGTAGTGAATGCAGCAGAGAGAAATGCACATTTAATTTCATAAGCAGAAAGCACTCT